TTTATTTTTTTTAGTTCTTTTATTCAAAAAACTTGAAGCTGTCTGGAATATAGGCGTTTGCCAAGTGTTTTAGCTTACAATATACGCATATATGTTTATATAGATTAGATACAGATTAGATTATACGAAAAAAAAAAAAAATTAAGAAAAAATAAAAAACATTGATTTGTATAACATTGCCATTGCCACGCCCACTAAGCAGTAGTAATTTTTGCTGGCAGACGTCGGCGCACAACTTTGGTCAGCCGGCGAGCAGGAGGCGGGGATGCGCCCGTGGCCAGCGCTGGCATAACGGTACTATTCATGGCCAGAGCTGGAGCCGCTGTGGTCAGGCCATCGTCAACGCCATCGCCCTGGCGGCTGCCCTGGGCATAGCTGTAGCTGATGGTGCGCTTGTAGATGCGCTGCTGCTGCGACTGCCTGGCGTGCGGCTGAGCGCTGCTCTTGCTCTTGCTCAGCTTATTCAGCTCCGCGTCGTAGCAGCGGCGCAGCTGCTGTCCGCCGCCATCCTTGCACTCGTAGCAGACGCTCTTGCCCACCAGGCGACGCTCGCAGAGGCTGCTGCTCTCGCCGCTGCTGCTGCTGCTGGGAGTGCTGCTCCTGGTGGCGCCTCCTGCTGGCTGCACAATTGTCGTGTGCCGCTTGCCATAGCGACGCTGCCGTGGCGTCGGCATCGACTGCCTTGGCTGCTCCTCGCTCTGATCCTCCTCGGGCGCTATGTCCCGATAGCGCCTGTACTGGCTGCCACTGCCGTAGGCGTACTGCTCCGGCTGCTCCTCGTGCGAGTAGCTGCACGTCTCGGAGACCTCGTTGTTGCGCGGCTCGCGGCATATTTCGCACAGCTGGCCGTGGCGACGGACGCGACGGCAGCTAGTCGGCTGCGTCTGCTTGGGCTTCTGCTGCTGCTGCAGATTGCTTGCCTCGGCTTGGGACTCAACGCTCCCCTCCTGCTCGGCCGCATCCTCGTCGCTGTCCTCGGGTATGCGATCGAAGTACTGCCGCACAAACTGCTCGTAATTGCGCTCGTAATCCTCGCCAGAATGGCCCTCGATGCTGTGGCTACTCGGCTCCAGTTCCACGTCCACGTCATCATCATCAGCTGCATCTGTTTCCGTCTCCAGTTCATCCGCATCCGTATCGTCATCGGCCGCATCCTCGTCCAGCTTGGCCTGGGCCACCGGCAGCTGTGCCGCTAGAGCCTCAGCCCGACCCGGCTGCACGTCATCGGCATTGGTGAGCGCATCCAGCCGCTGCAGCAGCTTGCCCGGCGCAAAGGCCTGCCAGTAGTTGACACTGTGATCGTAGCCACCAGCGACCGCTCCGACTAGCACCAGCATCAGCAGCAACATTTCGATTGCAATTTGAAGCGCTGCCTCGAGCGACAGCAGCCTATATAAGCCAGCGGGCGATCCAGCGATGCGTGGCCAAACCAATTGGACACCGATGATTGGGCAATGGCAAACCGCAGCGCGTCAGGAAATGCAATCGACGGCGACTGGAGGAAGTGCGAGTGAAAGGCATAGATTCGTGGCTGGCGCTTTATTGTGCCCAACCATGGCGAAAAGCGAAATAAAACTAGAGAGAACTCAAGTCGGGGTTCATTAAACTAAGGCCAATTGGTAGCTAAAACTTTGTCTTCTTGTCGATAAATAGATGGCGAATGGATCGTGGAATGGATTGGAGCAGATGCCGGCGGATGCCAGCGGACTACGCGATGCGCTGCACATCGCTGATCCGCTGGGCACCGATGCTCGGCTGCGGCGCTTTGGGCGGCGGCTGGCGCTGATGTCGCAGCTCGCGCCGTTTGTCCCGTATGATCTGTTTCGTCAGGGAGGTATCCAGCTCCTCCCAGCCGCCGGCATTGTCATCCACCCAGTCCTCGAGATCGGCCTGCAAAGCAAACCTTGATCAGTTGACCGCGCACAGATGCACTTGCTCTCGCTGCTTTACTTACATTAACACTAATGGGCACAATGTCCTGTGCCTTCAGTCTTGAGAAGTCTGTGGGCGCTGGCGTCGGCGCCGCATCGTCCAGATAGTATTTCGGCTGCGGCTTAATCACTGGCGTCAGTTCCTGCACATGAACAGAAATGAGAGCGTGTGCTCGGAGCGCCTCTGGCATACACTTACGCTGAAGAAGTCCGGCTCGGGCTCTTCTTTGGGCGGTGTGGGCGGCTGGGCCATGCGCTGGCGATACTGTTCGATGTGCTCCTCGACGGTGCGCGGACTGTCGTCCCACGAGTTCCAGTCGCGCTCCTTGGCGCCGCCACTGCTCGACGTCGCCGGCTTCGCTGTGGCTGGGAAATCGCCAATCGTCACGGCTTGGAGCTGGTCGGCGCCGCTGTGGCTAAGCTTGCGGCGTCGCGAGAAGCAGCAGAGGGCGCGCCGGAAGAGCGTAACGATGCCCAACAGGAGCATTTTAATTTGTTGCAGTACCATTTGTTCAGAGCTTAATTGAGACCTTTTTATATTGTGAAGGGGGGAATGGGGTTCAGCAAAAGTAAGTGGGGCACAAAAGAGAAACAAGCAAAACAAATATGATGTGTCGTGTGAGTGTGACCGCGCATGGTGCAGCTATCAGCTGTTCGTGGACAACGACAAGCTGAATGCTATGACACTTGTACTCGATAACAAAATATTATACGATGATTGTGTGCACAAAAGTTCAAATTTGGCTTGCGCGAAATGAAAAACTAAATGAGCATACCAAATTTTCAATAAACAAATATATAAATATAAATATAATTACAAATATACATAATACAAATATTTAAGCAACTGCTTGATTTGAATACGAAGGCATACCCGATAGCTACTCGATAATTTTATGTTCTTGGTAGAGCTTTTCTGAGAATTTCAAATGGGAAAACAAACGGTTTTGTGTTTGCTTCTCTGTTTATTCAATTATACCTACGTTGTGTATGAAAACTAACATTCGTTTATTCTATACGCATAAAATTACAACAGCCAAACGCTTTTTAGTGCACCGTCCTGTTGTTTCCATTGTCGTGCTCACACACATTATTCTGTTCGAGTTTGTTGCGCCGGCGAAATTTAACGCACAAAATTTCGATGATCCATGGCACAGCGCAGAGGGCCATGAAGACGTTCAAAATGTGGAAAACCAACAAATAGTCTTGTGTTCGATCTCGTATATAACCCACGATTGGACCAATTATAAACATTGCGTTTCCCTGCGTAAACATAAACAGACCGTAGCCACTCGCAAATCTGCGAAAAACAAAACCAAAAACAAAATCTTAAGTTATTTAGTTCTGGCAGTTTAAAATAGAGTTACCGTACCGATCTTTTGGCAAGTAATCGGCAAACACCAAGGGCAGCGGAACATGGATCCAAGTGCGCAAGAAGCCAAGCACGGCTGTGATGCAGGCCATCCCTACGAAATCAGTAATGCCGTTGAAAGCTGTAGTGATAAATAAATAGACTAATTTATTTAGCATCATTTGTATTCATATGCCACTTACCAAATCTGGTGAAAACAGTGAAAAGGGAACCAGCCAAGTAAATGTAACGTGCAGGCACTTGAATGAAAATCGCAGTAATTGCTAAAAATATGCGAGATAGCAGATCCGCAGCGGCGCCAATAGCTATGATATTTGCAGTATCAGGCTGAAAATTCAACAATATTAATAAGTTAATTAACGAATATWAAATGWACTGAACTGAATTTGATGTGAACGAACGAACTTTCAAGTTTTTCGTCGACACTGAACTCTAACAATCTCTCGATCTGCTGGCAACGCCAATAAGAAACAACGGTTCTTTTTCGACCGAAAACTGAAAAGTCGCGCGACCAATTGTCTATTGATCTCTTTTTAGGCTGCAATTTTAGCTTGCTGCGACTGCGTGCGAATGAGACAATTAGACACCGACTTAGCTCTCTGCCTATAAAAAACGGCCAAAAAATCTGCCGGCAGAGGCTGCTCGCCAGAAAGTCTAGCAAATTTAATCACTTTACGTTTGGCCGGCACCGAGGAAACACTTTTGTGAACAATCGTCTCGTTTTTTTTTTTGTTTTTTTTTTTCTTGTGAATTTAAAGTGATATACATATAAAGACTTAAAAATTTTGCTAAGAATGTGTAAGTACATCAATACATGTAGAAATATTTTAGCATACATTTTTTTGTGTATAAAAGTGCTTTGCTATGAACATTGTTTAAAGAGGCAACAAAAAAAAAAAAAAAACGAAAAACAAATATAAATCGAATTTATAAAATTCATACACATATTTCTCTAGAATTTTCAAATGCTCATTTTAATGTGCTCGCGCATGCTTATGTACGCAAGTGCGCGCAAACGCAAAGCAAAGTACACACAATAAGAGTGAATGTGGTGCAGCTCTAGGCCTGCGCAAAAGTTTGCCGCGCGGATTCAAAATGGTGGATGGCAAGCAGAGACTTCTGTGGGCAAACGTTTGCGCGTGTGTGTGTGCATGAGCATGGGCTGCCGTTTTTGTGTGTATGTGTGCATAAGAACATTTTTACGCACACGCAGCTAAAGTAAATGAAAGGTATATAAGGGCGCGCATAAAATTGTAATTTGTGCAAATAAGAGCGAATTTAATAAAATGCATAATTGAAATGAAATTAAATACGAATATAAAAAGACATTAAATAGAGTAAAAAAAAGTTTAGGAATTCTTGATGTTTGAAGTTAGATGAAATTATGTAGGAAAATAAAAATGCAAGTATATAAAGTGCAGAATAAAAATGGACGACAGCTCTACACATTTGCAAGTACATAACAGAGAATTTAATACAATCAAATTAGTGAAGGAATTCTCTGCTTTGTGATTTTATGTAGGAAGTTAAGTAAATGAAAAGTATAAATTCTAAATTGTGCAAATAAGAGTGAATTTAATAAAATACATATATGAAGTTAATTTAAATACTTATATAAAATGAAATTAAATAGAATAAAAAATAAATTAAGGAATTCTTTATGTTTGAAATTAGGTGAATTTATGTAGGAAACTGAAAAAGCAAATACATAAAGAATAAAACTGGAGAACAACTCTAAAAATATGCGAGTGAATTTAATAGAATAAAAATTAGTGAAAGATTTCTTTGTAGGCAGGTAGGAAAAAAGCAAGTTTATGAAGTGCAGAATAAAAATGGCGGACAGCGAGTACCACACATACATAGCAGTGACTTAATACATACACACATATGTAAGTAAAGGAATACTTGACGTTTGAGGTTGTGTGAAGAGTAGAAAAATCACAAATCGAGTGTATAAAGTACAAAATCAAAATGGCGGACAGCTCTGCTAGCATAGAAAAGTACATGTACTCAATACAATCAAATTAGTCGTAAAGGAGTGCTTGAAGTGTGAGGTTGTGAAGCTTAGTAAAATAAAAAATAAAATAAGTCGAGTATAATAAATGCAGAACAAAGATGGCGGACAGCTCTTCACATTCAGGAGTATATAAAAGTGAATGTAATAAAATCAAATTAGTAGTAAAGAAATGTTTGACGTGTAAGGTTATGTGAAGTGATGTAGAACAATGAAAGGTAAGCCTATAAAGTGCGCACGCGTGGCAGTAAATTTTTGAAATAGCTTAAATAAAGTGAACATAGTATAATAAAATATGCGAATAGCTCTGAACATTCGAGAGTAAATAAAGTGAATAATCCATAAAAATTAGTGAAGGAGTTCTTCGTTAGGTAAAGCTATGTAGGAAAATGAAAAATCGAGTATATATTATGCAGAATCAAGATGGCGGAAAGCTCGACACATGCGAATTTATAAAAGTGAATTTAAAAAAATCAAATTAGTAGCAAAGGAATGCTTGACGTTTGAGGTTATGTGAAGTTTTGTATGTATAGAAATGAAATTAAAACTCAAGTATAGTAAATAAAAAATCGAGATGGCGGACAGCTCTTCACATTCAAGGTAAATAAAATATAAAATCAAATTGGTAGTAAAGAAATGCTTGACGTGTAAGGTTATGTGAAGCAATGTAGGATAATGAAAGCCTATAAGCATATAAAGTGCGCACGCGTAACAGTAAATTTTTAAAATAGATGAAATAAAGTGAACATAGTATAATAAAATATGCAAGCAGCATTCGAGAGTAAATAAAAGTGGAAGAAAAAGCAAAATTATAAAAAAAAAAAAAATAGAATTTAATACATTCAAATAAGTAAAGAAATTCCTTGTTAGGTGTGAAAAAATAAAGTATATAAGGTACAGAATAAAAATGGAGGATAGCAAGTACATATATGCACATATATGCAATGGAATGCTTTACGTTTGTGGTTGTGGGAAGTTGAGTAGAAAAATGACAAATCGAATATATAAAGTGCAGAACCAAGATGGCAGACAGCTCTGCTAGCATAGAAAAGTAA